GAAATGGAACTGTAAATGTTAGTGTCTAACACAGACCAAGAGCATAAAGACTCTGTTTAAAACAAGGTGAGAACACCAGGGATCCCAAGTGTTCTACAAGTTGGTTGGTTGGTTGGTTGGTTGGTTGGTTGGTTGGTTGGTTGGTTGTTTGGTTGGTTGGTTGGTTGGTTGGTTGGTTGGTTGGTTGGTTGGTTGGTTGGTTGGTTAGTTGTGTTGGTTGGTTGGTTGGTTGGTTGTGTTGGTTGGTTGGAGGTTGGTTGGTTGGAGATTGGTTGGTTGGTTGGTTGGTTGGTTGGTTGGTTGGTTGGTTGGTTGGTTGGTTGGTTGGTTGGTTGGTTGTGTTGGCTTGGTTGGAAGTCATGTCCTCATATAACCCTGACCCATTTCCAGGGCTTTATCAGTTCCTGAGGACTCTAAACGGGAGTCCATGTCCCGGGATGATGACATCAGCGGTGTGTAATGCCTCTCGGCGGCTGACCTCCTGTACTGCAGTGTTCATACTCAGATCCCGCCAGCTGTCCTCATCTGAACAGCACTCAAATAAGTCCCCTGCAACAAGCACTGTCCCCGCTGAGGTTCCCTTCACCTGAACGCTGACATCCTGTCCTGTGTGGCCTGGACTGGGAACTACACATACCTGTAGGAGAAGAGAGACTGGTTGGAAACTGAGGGAAAACCAGCAGAACAGCACATCAGCCCACTGAGCTCCATCACATTCTGACTGTTTTGTTTTATCTCCTTTCCTCCAGCTTTTCTCCCTCTGGTCTTTGGATGGCTGCGCATTACTCTTCCTGGTGAGCTACAGCCTGGGGCTAGCTGCACCCTACAGCTGGTTGATGGGAACAATACATGATGGGAACAATGCATGATGGGAACAGCAGGGCTTGGTTGATAAAAACAAGTCGACACTTCAAACACAACATCTCNTTATTATTAGATTTAGTCTCAGTCCTGAGATCTAAGGTCCATGTTAGTTTTAGTCATCTTTAGTCGACTAACACATTTGACACAAATGTTGTGAAGTGATGCTAGAAATTAGCTACAAAACAAGAAGCTTCATAGCTTAACACAGAGGGTGTCTGTGATGTTATACATCAATACATCTGTGAAAGAAGTTCTGATTTATATATTTATTCTGAACCAACACAACTACACAGATTAACATCTGTCTGTGTCAGAGAGGTGTTGATTTAACACTGTTTATCTCCCTCTGGTCTTTGGATGGCTGCGCATTACTCTTCCTGGTGAGCTACAGCCTGGGGCTAGCTGCACCCTACAGCTGGTTGATGGGAACAATACATGATGGGAACAATGCATGATGGGAACAGCAGGGCTTGGTTGATAAAAACAAGTCGACACTTCAAACACAACATCTCAGAGAGAAAAAGTGAATGTGTAGTGATGGTACACACACATATCAGAGAGGTGTGGGGGGAGGAGTTTCTGACATTATCTGAAAATATTACATAATCAGTGTAAACCCCTGGTAATACGCCGCTTAACTAAGAGGACTGACAATTGTTGTTATTGTCTGGAACCTACACTGTAACTGCTCAGGCGCATGGAGGTGTGACAGTGGCCGGAGTTTGAACTTCTTTTATCATTCTTTCACACATGTACTTATGTCACTTTTCATGTGTGTAAATGAATGGCATCCACAGAGACATTATGAATTTTTGACTCAAACTTCATTCTTCGAAAGTGTATTAGGGAAAGTTTGAGAATAAAGTCATAATATTACCAGAATTTAAAAAAAATGTGTTGAGAGAAAAAAAATGATGTTTAGCAATATTACATCAACCAATGAAACAGGTCAGTGTCAGCCTGAGCTGCTTCTGGCAGCTGCTGTTTGTCTGTGTAACTATAGAATAGACTCAGTTTCTTCACAGTCTTTTCAATGTCCTGATGATGATGATGATGATGATGATGATGATGATGATGATGATGATGAGGCAAAAGATGTTGTTTCTCCCTATTAATGAAACCTGTGCTAAAGTAGAACTTCACAGGATACCTCACATTCCTCATTTTAAAGCCTCTGGTATTCCCCCTCTAAAACAACACACATTCTTATATTACAACTTTATTCTCATTATGACTTTTTTCTAAAAGTAAAAATTTATTCTCAAAATTTCAGATTTTTTTTCCGCGGTGTGGCCCTAATAAGTTTTTTTTTTTTTTTTTATACATATTGTGCCTGGTTTCTGCCAAAACAAGAATCAGAGATGTTGAGAAAGTAGCTGTGAACATCCCTAAACCTTCATCTACACCAACCTCACCTCCACCTTTGTCTCAGCGCGCCTGTGGACAGTTGACAGAGACAAATCTCAGGTCTTCTCTGAGTTAAAACAGGTTTGGTTGATCAGCTGACTGAATGACTGAATGACTGGTGAAGTGATGAAGTGATGAAGTGAGTGAGGAGCTGTGGCTGCAGTGATCTGGTTGAACACCTGTTGCTTTGTATCCAGTCTCAGACCAGACTTAACTTTTCTCACACTTGTACCACAGTCTGCTGCGATGACACCAACCTGCTCATCGATGACGTAACCGTGTCCGTCTGCCAGCTCGTTGGGTCGGTACCGGTCCCCCTCACTGACGTCATAACCTACAATCATCAGCGCTGCTTGGAAAAGAGCCAGATTCCCGATGTGGTCTGAATGTCCGTGAGTCCCCACGACCACGTTAACGTCTTCCGGCTCCAGACCCCGCTCCTTCAGTGACATGAGGAGAAAGTCCCGGTCCCACGGTCCCCCGGTGTCCACCAGAATGGTCTTGGGTCCCGTTATGAGAGTGATGGTCCCGTCGGCTCTGAACGTCCCGTTGGTCTGCGGGAGACAGTATCCGGCTTTAAGGACGGACACGGAGAACGGGTGACCGGGGAAGTCCAGCTGAGACTCTGAGAGCGGGACTCTCTGAACCTGATCAGAGACCACTTTACTGTCTGTCCCCATCATGTCAACAGAGTCCACAGGAAGACCTGAGGACAGACAGCTGCTTCCATTGATCAGTCCGGACCATTATAACAGGTGCACGCTGCCCCCTGCTGGACCGGAGTGTTCAATGAAGCTGCATAAAAATCAAGTACCTCCACATTTGATAATTACTAATGTTAGCACAGACTGTTCCCAACAGAATGACAAATAATATGTAATAATGTCTTATACAGAAGTTGCATAGGTTGGAATATATAATATGGTTTATATATATATAGGCCTATTCCATGTATGTATTCCATTGAAATAGAAGAAAATACATTTTATACTTATACAGTATACAAATATATTTTTGAACTATATTGAATTAATACATTAATAAATTAGATATTTAAATAAATGAATACATTGAAGTATTCTATTTTGGCTGCTTTTTAATATTTCTACACACATTATTAGACAAATGCAAATATATTCTTATTGAGAATATTTAGTACATATAGGCCTATTCATTGTATTCATATGTAAATAAGTTTAGTTCTCCATCTATGTTAATACATCAATTTGTAAATATCTGTACACATTAAAATTCCTGGAATTTGTTACCAGATTAGTTTTCTGTTGTAAATCTTCATAAGCCTCTTCATAAGAGGAGGTGAACAACATCAGCCAGGTACAGATCCCACAGCACTTCTGTTGTTGCTGTTAAAAGAATTCAGTCCTCTTCAAGCATTTATCTTGTGTTATAGTGTTAGTCCAAAGTATACATTAATGCTGTATTTGTTATTTGAAGTTTCTATATGCCATGGATCTATTCATTGAATCATGAGGTCAGTCATGTGTACAGAACAACACAACATTTTTATTACTTGTTTTATTATAAACTGTAATGATCATGTTTTACTAGCTTCATAAACACGATATCACTTCAGAATTAATTGATTGAAGTGTCTTTTAATGTGTGAACTAACACAAGACAACAAAAGACTTTAGGATTTTTAGATTTCCTGAGCTGAACAATTCACACATAACACACAACACATGATTCAAACATGCACTTCTTATTTATGTGGTCCAACTTTACAAAACAAAAAACAGCATGCACACAAATAAAGACAGCTAATACTGGTTAGCGGGTTTACTTTACTTTAAAACTCAATTCTGTGTCCAGTCTGGTAAATCGGCTACAGAAACATTTATATGATGAAAAACATGTATTTCTCATCAGTTTCCACCTTCTCCTATTTGAAGTTAAGTGTGGCAGTAAGAAGGTTGTACCATAGGAGGGCACCAAAGAGCTGCACAGCCTGGAAAGCAGCATGAGTCCTTTCCTCCTCTGGGCCACGGAGCAAACTGAACATGTTTATTAACCTAACCCTGTGTTTCATTCATAAATTCCCCATATTACCCCTGTAAAAATGTTGTTATGAACTACTCAACTGGACTCACTACCCAGAGACTCAAAGATTCAAATCTCTTCCAAAGACTCTTTGTAGTTCTGCCTCATTTATTCTGCTGTTTGTAGTTTCAACATTTTCATTGTTATGTGAATAGGCTAAGAATTATAATAACAGTAGTAACAACAACAACAACAACAACAATAATAATCATATTATTATTATTATCATTAGTGTTATTATTATTATTATTATTATTATTATTCTCTATTTTACAGTACATGTGGTCGTTTTCAAGCAGAGGAACCTTTGTATTGTCATGTGAACTGGTAGGACTCTTTATTTGTTACACATTCAACAGCAACGTCACCTTTAATCTCCACAATGGCGGATAAAACAGTGCTGGGTAAAGGGTCGTCTTTCATGGACCCTGTTAAAGGGCTTCTGTTGACATATTTTATGCCGGAATCATGCTACGACGAGTTTTTCCTCAATTTCAACTTCCTGGATGGTGAGTGGATGTTTTCAGTTTCAGCCCAGTGACTGAAGAGACGCGGGAGTGTTGAAGCTAACGTCCTGCTGATGGGAAACTATCTGCTTTTATTTTATGGAGATAACTGGATAAGGCTTCCGGTGCATCGTGTCGGTCTGTGTTCTATGAGCGTTAATTAAAATGTAGCTTGACTGAATCTACACACAGAGAAACAGTCAGAACCTGAGAGCATTGAAACTGTCTCCTACAAAATAAAAGCTTCACCAACCTTTTCAGCCTGGAAACGTCAAAATGATTTGAACAGTAGTTGATACGTCAGGCCTGGTTTGTTTGATGCGGTTTTAATAGCTGTCACTCTTTCATACATTAACTACACCCAGCAGATAACTCAGAGAAGCCCGAGGAATAATATTTCCTGGTTCGTCCATACAGTAATACCCTGAAACATCCTGTAATAATGCTACGCCCTTAAATATTTTTGTGTAAGCAGGAAGTCAACTATTTTAAACTACTGCAGTTCAACAAGTCAAACTGGGATCAGGCCACCGCAGAGACAGTTTGTGAAACCAACCACAGACAACATATTAACATGCTTCATGAAAATCAGCCCTTATTCTGAAAAGCCTGTCCTGGATTAACCTAAGAATTCATGACCTGAAACACAAACCTGAGACATCCAGCACTGATCACATTGATCTTCATCCCAGTGAAGAACACGGATCTTAACATAGATTGTTGGTGGCCACACTAATAACATGTTACCATGTAATATGGAGAATAAAATTATAAACACTGACAAAGTCACTGCAGTTAACAAAGTAAAAAGATCTCAGACTCTCAGATCAGCCTCGCTTTGTTGCTTTCTGACCTTTTGGTTTCAGTTCCTGCTGGGTGAACTTTCTTCAGATAATTAGTGCTGAAAATGAATGTATAGATACAGATGTACTGAATAAGATGCAACATACTATTAAACAACTCTGACATACCAAACAGGATTTCCACCAGGTAATTTATTTTACAACATATTCATTTTAATTGGCTATATTATAACTGTAATGCATTTAAAAGCTGGAGTATTGTGCAGATATTTTGGACTGAAAAGATGTGAGATTTTAATGACACTGTTAAGTGCATCCCATGTCAAAATGTGACATAAACTTTACACGTACTGGAAACTGACTCTTGTTCACATCACAGCAGTGAAGAGAAACCCGTAGAGGAATCAGAGTTTCAGTCTGGCCGATTGATTTTAACAGAGGTTCAGAGTCAGACTGAAGCCTCCTGTGTGACATAGACATATGACACTCTGACCTACTGAAATAAGCTTTGTTTAACTCTTCATGAAACACTTGTCAGGTCTACATTAAGAATGAATATGTTTCCACTTCCGCAGCGTGAGACAACGTGGGTAACAAGGGTTTAACCTTTAAACTAGGCAGTTACTTGTGCTAATCTGATTGGCTCATCACTGTGTACTGTGTACATGAGGGTTAAAGCTCAGGTGGGCAGGTGAGTGTTGGTTGTCTGATCTCCAGCTCTACCTGTCGTCATGTTGAGACATCATAGACGTCAAGCTGTATTTTTATATTTTCCTCAGAGTCAACAGATTCCCCAAGAAGAGCCAAAGCAACAGTGACGAGAGAAACTATTAAAACACGTCAGAGAGTCACACACATGTTCCTTCATCACCATAACACACACACTGTACTTTATTTAGACTCAGTCACACACACACACACTGTCCTGCTTCTATATTTCCTCCTGTTTGTTTGTTTAAAAACTACAGTGAGCAGCTGTTTTAGGAAATTACACATGTGTGAGCCTTGTTTAAATATTCATGTCTTCAGTAGGAGCCAGTGGATCCGAGTGGCTCATACAGAGAAGAGAGGTCAGAAAACAATGAGACAACCTAACGTTTCATGTTTTATGATGCTCTCTTGCTTTAGATTCTCTGACTATGACTGCTTTGGTGTGTGTGTGTGTGTTTATATAGTATGTTGTGATGTATGACATCCAGCTAACCTGTGTGTGTTTTTTTTGTTTTTTTTTATTTAATTCCAGTACCATGTCTGAAGATTGTTCTGAGCAAAGGTCTGGGCATCGGCATCATCCTGGGATCAGTGATGGGTAAAACACCTCAGCTCTGCTTCTCCATCACCTCATTTATCTGTAGTCTCCAATTCATATTCACTTGAACCAAGCCTAGTCTTTATTGTTACATTCTAGGTTTAGACAATGAAAATATTAACTGTGATACTGTGGATATTTATAATAAAGATCAGATTTAGTCTCATTATGACTTGAACCTTTGCCTCCTTTTTTAAATTAAAAAAGTCAATTGAAAATATTGTTATATGTTGGTATATTGGTATTGAAAAATTGTCCAACAACAAGCAGCTCTTCTAATCAGATACAAAGTTCAAGTCTGGTTTTAAAAACAGTGACATTCAACCTGTGTTTCCTTTTTAATTTATTTTACAGTGCAAACTTTACATTTCTTTCCTTAGAAAATGTAAGAGTGGACAAGAAAACAAAAATACCAGTAATACTAATACTTAGGTTAGTTATGAACTTAATTAGCAGCAGCCAGAGTTGATTTTAGTTTTTGATTTTCATTACATTATCTGAAACCTTGAGTGTTTTTAGAAACCTGCCCCGTTCACTTCGGCCTTCCTCCTCCTCCTCCTCCTCCTCCTCCTCCTCGTTCACAGTGAAACTGCCTCAGATCTTGAAGCTGATGGCAGCAAAGAGCGCTGAGGGTCTGAGCTTCAAGTCTGTGCTGCTGGAGCTGCTGGCCATCACAGGAACCATGGCCTACAGCATCGCCAACAAGTTCCCCTTCAGGTGAGGGCCGTCTTCAGATGAACTGTCTGTGTGCATGCAGCTCTCTGACTGTTGTACTGCTGTCACTCTATAATTGTACTGTAAAATGCATGTTAATTTAGACAGAGTTGTTCAGCTTTGGCTTCATATTGTGAGTAAGACATTGAGTAACATGTGCTGACTGTTGCTTCAGTGCCTGGGGCGAGGCCCTGTTCCTCATGCTGCAGACAGTCGCCATCGGCTTCCTCATTCAGCACTACGGAGGAAGAACCAGTAGAGGTGAGACTGCATGCGCACGCAGACGTCAGTGATGTCAGTATGTGGATACTGAGGAGCTGTGGCTGAAATAC